GTAGGGCAAATTATAGTAATCGCAAAAAAATCGAAAATGAAAATTTTTATATATCTTTACGTTTCAAAACTTTCTGAACATACTGGCATACCTTAGAAAAAATGGATGTATGTGTGTGTGTGTGTGTGTGTGTGTGCGCGCACGTGTGTGTGTGTGTGTTCGGATACAAATTTTCGTCGACGATTTCGGGAACACGAATGAAGCGATTTGAATAATTCAAAAAAACATCCGATTCGTATTGATAAGGAGACGTGCTGATTAGTTTTTAGCGAAGGCAGGTCTAGCCGTTCCGAAGATATGGGCTATAAAGTGCCAAAAACGGTAACTCAGTTTTTAAGGGAGCGGAGCGTCCGATTTGAATAATTCAAAAAACATTTTACTTGTATTAACAAGATGAAGAACTGATCAAATTTTCATGAAGGCAGGTCTAGCGGTTTCGGAGATCTAGTAAAAATAGTAGAAAAAAATGCCATTTAGCGGTCAAAAATGATCATTAGACATATGCACATCAAATTATCAGATATTTTATAGAGATTTTAACAATAAGTATAAATTTTGTTTACATCCCTATGGGTTCCGTAACAATGTTTATCCGTTAGACGGCGACGCGGCGCTTACGCGCTTCGATATTTCGTCTCTATGCAGTTAAAGCAGTACGATTGCTTTGAAAAAAAAATCAGAATTTCCAAAATATTTCAAAATAATTTTTTCTTCAAAAAGTCTTTTTTTTTTTAAGAAAAAGTAAGTTTTTGTCAAAAATTTATAGTTTCTCAAAAATCTAATTTTTTCAGAGTAAATTTTTTTCAAAAATTTTAATTTTTTTAAAAAAAATAATTTTTGGTATGGGAAGTTCCAGCAATTTGCCTTAAGGCACGATGCCATGCGCTCCAGTAGTTTGACTTTTACATCAGCTATGCAGTGCGATCGCTTAAAACATGTTCAAAAATTTAAAAAAAAATCAAAATACAAAAAATATCAAAATATAAAAAAGTCAAATTTTTCAAAAAAGTAATTTTTTTACAAATATTTCAAAATTTCTCAAATATCTAATTTTTTCAAAGTTTTCTTTAATAATTTAGTTTTCGGTACGGGAAGTTGCAGCAATTTGCCTTAAGTCTCGATACCCACTACTAGTTATTATTAATTTTGGTCTCATGTCTTAAATAATTGCATTTGTGAGGAGCAATTGTTTGATATTGCTCTTCACTATGGTACCTTCTTACATGGCAAACCCGATGTGTCATTGCACTCCAGTGGCATATTACTGGGTACACTACCAATACAAAATTACACATTACTTACTAAAGCTAAAGCAAAAGCAAAGCGCAATACAAGTCTCGGCTACGATTCCCATCATTGTGCACACCGCATTGCCTTTATATAATAAATGTGTCATATTTAGTGACTATTTTATTATTAATAAGAATATTTTATGGGCCGGTTGGAAGCCGCGGGGGGCGCGCTGCAAAATGAATACTTCGATCGAGGTCTAATTAATTCTTTTTGGTCCATACATGCACGAAGAATAAACATTCGAAATTGGTAATTATTAAAAGAACTTTTATACTTGTTCAAAAAATATGGTCGTTTTTGTTTTTTTATTTTTTATTTTTTAGGAATCAATTATAGTCTCAATATATTTCTATAAATTAATACTCAATATGTTACTAGTTGGTGAAATCGCCAGACGCGTGTTCATCATTTGCTTCATGAGAAGAATGTAAAAAGAACAAATAATTTTTTGTGTTTTCATGAAGAGAAAAAAATTTTAGTCTTCCCAATGTTTTGGTTAGAAAATACACCTAAGTCTGTTTTTAAACGGAGATTGGTTCCAGAAGAAGCCGTGTAAAAAAAGACATTGATCTTATACAAAAATGGGTGATTTGTCCTACTCTCTAAAACCTATTAAAATTAGTGAAAAACAAGAATTTTCAAGAACAAGAATTCATGTTTATTTTAATAATAATTCCCCTAAATTAGTGCTATTCACATTTGCTTTGACCAGTAAAAATTGTTTGTACGCGCTAAAGGGGAATTTACTTAAATCTTTAAGCTAGTGTTCGCAAACTATCGATACTATCGATGGTTTCAGACTTTTTTCTTTCATAAGTACTTTTTTGTGATATGAACATACATCGCAAAAATTAAATTTGACAAAAAAAAAATAAGTACATAAAATTTCAAATCGTGCTAAATGGAATAAAATCGTGTAAAAAAATTAAAAATATTCAATTTTCAAACCGTGTTATATCAAAACCGTGTACAAAAAGACCGTATAAAAACAGACTTAGGTGTACTTAATATTTGCATATGATATCGACTTTATCTTCTATATGTTTTTTACTCATAACTCCACGTAGGGTAAGTTTTAGTAATTACAAAAAAAATAGAAAATTAAAGTTTTTGCATATCTTTTTTACATTTCAAAGGTGTTTGAACATTTTGGCATACCTTACAAAGAGAAAATGGATCTGTGTGTGCGTGCGTGTGTGTTTGGATACAAATTTTCATCTACGACTTCGGGAACACGGTTCAACCGATTTGAATGATTCAAAAAACATTCGATTCCTATTGATAAGGATATGTACTGATTTGTTTTTGGCGAAGGTAGGTCCAGCCGTTTCGAAGATTCGGGGCGAAAAGTGTCAAAAATGGTAATTCAGTTTTTGAGAGAAAGGAGCGTCTGATTTTAATAATTTAAAAAACATTTTACTCGTATTGATAAAAGAAAGAACTGGTTAAATTTTCTGTACATTTCTGTAGGTTCAATGTTTATTCGTGAGACTGCGACGCGGCGTTTGCGCGCTTCGATATTTCTTTTTTAAAACAGTCATGCAGCACTTTACCAAATTTCAAAATAAAATCGAAGTAAATATTTTTCAAAAAAGTCTTTTTTTTAAAAAAAAAATGTCGAATATCTCATTTTTTTAGGTTTTAAAATTGATTTATTTATTTTAAATTAGTTTTGAAATTGTTGATAATTTTTGAACTACAAAATACAAATGAATTATTTACTTGAAAAGTTAGCTACGCAACACCGAAAATTGTATACAATGTCAATTGTCATAAAAGATCAAGAATTTTAGTCTTATAGTAAAAATGGTTTATCGACAATTTTATAAGCGAACCCGACGAACTCCGTTTCGCCACCAGATGGTTTCGTGAGAAAGATGAAGAAATGTTTTTGTTTGTTTTATATTTGAAAAGGAAAAATTTGATTTTATTATACAACAGCAATGAATTTATTTCGATTACAAAAATGAAGTGTTTTTTAGTTGAACTTCTCTAAGTAAATGAAAGTGAATCCGCAAATTATCCGTTTCATTGAAGTGCTCTTTGGTAAACCACATTTTTTCTTTTTTGGTCTGACGTTAACACAAGCAAAGCGGATGGTTTTCCAACTCGTGAACAGGCAACGTATAACTGCCCATGTGAAAAACAATGATTTTCTAAATAATCTATTTGAAATTTATCCCGCAAACACTAAGCGATTGGCCTTGCGACTTGTTATTGCGAACGCGACTTGTTATTGGCGAACTGGAAATTGCAATCGTTTGAAGTCAAACGGAAGACGAGTCGGAATCATTGGTATGTCACCAAATCGCCAGCAATTTTTGATTGAATGGTGAAATTCAGTGCGTGTACATCATTATTCTTTGCGGCAAGAATTGCTCGTTGACTTAACCAAGCATAATTCTGATAATTCTCACTAATGTCATTACTGGAATTTTTAATTACGGTGCGTGAAGTTCCAGCAATTTGCATTAGGGCACGATGCCATATGCACCACTACTTTCCTTAGCTATAAACCTTGCGGAGCCCGAGACCTTTCCAATGAATGCAAAATTGTCGAAATCGGTTCGTGCATTCTGGAGTTATTTCGTCAGGAAGGAAAACCCGACTTATTTTTATATATATATAAAAGATTATAAAAGTTAGATAAAAGGCAAACATTTAAACTTTCTGAACAAAATAGAAAAGATTCACTTGAAACATTAAAATCATTTATTTGGAGCTTAAATTTTCGGTCTGTCCAAAAGGCAGGTCTAAGTTGTCTTACTCTTCTTTTTTTACCACTATCGTGCGAAGTGGTGTTTGTCTTCTGTTATCACTCGTACTACTTTTTTATTTATTACCATATCTGTATATTTTATTCATCCATTTCTGCAGCATTACATTTAAAAACTCTTCCAGGTAGTCAAGACATTATCCCCCTTTCTTATAGTCCATGTCTCTCATCCGCACAGATTTATGCTTCGTGTGTAGTATTTATTTAAGTATGGATTTCTTGATTTCGAAATTCAATAGTTGATTGTTTTAATCGTAAGCTTTTAATATCAACTTCGTTAGCTGATAATAGTGTGACGTCATTTGGTGAAAGGTTATGCGAGTTGATATGACCTGATGATGTGCGCCGCTTTAAGGTCGTTCGGCAGAACAGCATTGAGCCGTCGTGGACCGACGAACGACGACCGACCATTCACTCTTTGTAAATGATGTAAATGATAAACTCTGCGTTATTTTGTCAATACCTGTTGCCTCGCTAGATTTTTAAACCGAATCATTTTAATGAAACCATTAATCTTGCAGCATACCTGACATTATCATTTTTTCAACTAGTCGACATATGAATAATAAATGAATGCAAGTATTGCATTTGGAATTTGAGTTTCTTCATAAGGAGTCGTCATAAATAAAAGTTATCCACGGATTTATATTTTTTTAAATTATATTATTATTTTGTTCTTGGGAAACTTTAATTTAGGCATAAGTATGTTTGATATATGCTATTATTTTTATACCAGTAATGTTGAATTCTTGTAAACAATGATAATTAATTTCTTAAATATGGCTCCGCTTGAAGGTACACGCCCTTTGATTTTGAAAATATAGAACATAGTTTGAATGCTTTTTATATTATACAATATGCTATATGCTATATTGTACAAGCACTTTAAAAAGATATGGAATGTGATTACTAAGTCAATTTTATTTTGCAGATAATTGATGAAAGCAAAATGCGGAGGCGGGTCCTTCTTCATTAAGTGGCTTCTTCAGCGATCGATGTGCTGAAGTTGAGATCACATGTTGAAAAAATAAGGAATATAAAAGTTTAAATATGGACTTTGACATTCTGAGATGCTGCTGCATCACATTTGTGCTGTCCGCCTGGGTCACCCCTGCCAGTTTTTCCTCGTTTGAGACGAATGCCGGGTCCAGCATTTACGTGGACAAAATTGGTCTCGAACAAAGCATCGCTGCAGTGCTGCATAAAGTGGCTTATGGTTCTACTACGACCAAGCGAAGCATACCAGATGGCATGTCAGCTACTGGTTCCGGCGTTACGACTGTTACGACACCTCTGCTTACCACGTTTCGTTATCGTGAGCGAGATCATGACCTGGAACGACCTCATGAACCACCGAATGGCCCAGCTGGTTTCGAATTGGATCTTGAAAAGGATCATGCGCTACCTACGTCCGCACCAAATGCTGATATATTAAAAAGTCACGGTAGCTCTTCGTATCCAAATCCTAATCGTCATCATAATGGTGATAGAGGTACGGGCCATCAAAAACACAATCCTCTAGGAAACATGGACGGCCCTTCTCGTAAATTGGCTGTACCACCAACACAGTGGATGTATTCACGCGATGTTCCGTCCTATGCTCCACCATCTCGATCGTATAATACGCCTCCATTGCCGCCGGATTATTTTCAGTTTGCTGACAAACCCACATTGCGTAATTCAAATTCGGAAGGCATTCTCGGTAGCAATGGGGGCGTTTCTACTAGTTACGCTAGTCGTCGTCCGTTGCCGCCACCGAGTCTTATGCCTAATCATGAAAGAATTCCTGTCAGGCCTCCAAACTTAGCATCAGGAGTGCTGGCACCCGATGCTATGCCGCCACAAGAGCCATCGACGGAAGGCAGAAAAAAGACTCTAAATACGCCCTACAACCGCGCGACACAAATAGACACATCGCACAATCAACTTCCGGTAAATGGTCCTGATGTAGGTCGAGTGGATCCAAATGGTAATTTGACCGATTTCATGCCGAATGGAAGTTTCTTACATTACCCTAGTATTTCGCGCATTCTGTCTGGATCAAATGGCCGCAAGGAAGAAATACCAGCTGTTTTACTCAGAACAGTAACTGCTGGACCGAGCATCATATTACCTCCACTATCATCTCCCGCACCACCAGAAGATAAAATTCACGAATCATGGAATATACCAAAAGAATCTGAAAGAAAATTAGTAGAAGCGGAATTATTACCATCTGACGTTGATGATTCTAAATCGCAGCTTGATGACGCAAATAATATCAAAAACCAAGATACAACAGATCAAGTTTTTCCTATGGAATATTCTACTGAAATAATACAACTTGCAAATGTGAACAATGATCGAAATTTATATTCCTCTACATCACGACCGTCAGAAAGAGGACCCTATAGTCCACCCTACACAACCTGGACAGTAGCTTGGAACTTGCATATATATCTTGTTGCAATTTTGTTCACAATACTCGCAGTTTACTCTATATTCAAAATAATATGCTATGACAAATTGACACATCTTTTAGTCAATCATATTTTGTATGTTTGCATTTGACATTGATATTAATTTGTTTGGCAAGAATATTTTATTTGTGTTATGATCCATACAATATCCACTCAAGTTTTCATATATTTATATCAGAAATATTACTAAATTTACCAGCAGCATTCTTAACAGTATCATTTGCAATACTGATATTGTTTCTTCTTAGACGTACTATTAACTTGAAGAACAATCGGTATTCTGCTTTGGTTCGACCGCTAACTGTTATTATTGGAAGTAGTGTACATGTTGGTCTATGCATTACATTACATTATGTTGAAAGTCATAGTCACGGACATGGAAATAACCAGGAACCTCGGATTCTTGGTTTAATATGCCAGATTATATACATATTTGTATGCTTGAGTTTGGGGTTGTTGTATCTTTACATTTATCGGATACTTAAACGTATTTTGCGAAATAAATCTCAAAATTATATACATGGCTATCAAAATCTATCATATGCAATTCATATTAGTATTGCTACGGCTTTGCTGTTTATATTACTAGCAGCTTTACAAGTATATGGTGTTGTGGATATGACTACATCTCCACGATTAGCGTTATCTGAATTTGATTGGTTGCAATGGGGTTATCAGTTTTCTTTGAGACTGATAGAAGTGGCTGTTATTACACTTATGTCTTGGGTTGCCGGACTAAGAACTGGCTCATCAAAGTCATTACAAAGAGAGAAAGGAATGGAACCACATAATGTTTCCGGTTTTGCTCTATTTCCGTGTACTTCTAGCTCTAGCCAAGAACATTTTGAAACTGACTACCCAGCCATATGCAATGCCAATACTAATCTACATACATATACTTTACGAACCGGTAAGCCGATATATGATGACAGCTTTGCTTTAAATTCATTAGGGACTGAAGTGCCAACTGCTCCTCAATCAAGACCAATTGATTACCAAATGAGTGTTGGCCCTGATACAGGCCGTTCAATAGAAACTGATAGTGCTTGTTCTTCAGCGCACAATGGTAATCTATTAGTGCAAAATGAATTTACATCAGTGCCTAAAGATTATTTGAACAACAGCAGTGCTGTACCAGATCATTATGAGAATCCAGACTTTGAATTTCGCGGTACACCGCGAAATACAACGCCCATTCCAAGCAATTGTTACTCTGAACCAGTAGATATGAAGGAACACGGCCATTACAACCACTCAGTCCAGAATCTGGATTTCAAAAATTTTGAAAGACCGCATTTCGATAAACCTGCCTCGCGTACTGAATTTCGAGCTTCGAAGAATATGAAAAACGTGAAGAATGGTTGTGGCGTTCAGCATTCTGAACGTGATTATGAGCAATCAGCGCACAATGTATACGGTTCTGGACGTCACAGTTCGTTTGATCGAAGGGGGGTACGAAAAAGCGGCACAATGAGCAATATCGGTGGTGTGCACACCAGCGGCATTCGGTCCAGCGGCGGTAGCAGATCATCGGGGGTGCAGACACTGAGCTCTTCTAGAGCGGAACGTGAACGATCCTCCACGCGATCGAAAAAACATCACGCTGTTCCTGATCATCACATGTACGATGAGGAATATAAAATAGATCCCGGTTACCCCGAACGGCCGCAGTTCGACCGTAGACAACATTCCCGCATGTCTGATCAGAAGGCAGAGCAAGATGCCGAAATCAACGAAAGCATGCTCGTGGCCGAGCACGGCTTCGTCAGATTCCGCGCTCTAGACGCGGTCCCTCCCATTTCGGTCCAGAGGGCCAGCAAAGGCAAAGAGAAACGCTATAATACGTAGTGCCGACGTTTCGAAAGCCTTATTATCCTTACATAATTGGATTGCCAGTGCGACTTAATTTGTACATAAAGTTAGGTATTAAAAATTATCCTTACATAGTATTTTATGCGCAGCTACATACTTGTATCCAAATTCATGCACTAGTTGTCAATATTAAAATTGTGATCAATATATCAATAGAGTCTTATATTGGAGCAACAATCATAATTTACATTTCATTGATTCACATATGCTCATGAACTCATTTCACATGTGATGCACCTGATATTTTTTCATATTTATTTGTACACCATCTGCAAAAAAGCATTTTAAAACTTACATACAAGACTCTACATGTTCGTGTTACTGAAACATTGTTAATTTTTTCAAACATAACACATTACATATTCTAGTGTATATTGTTATATACAATATGATAAAATGTTTTTAGACATCTAACCAATAATAATAGAAATTGGTGAAGAAGAATGACTTTATTAAAATTCCAAACGTTTCGAGTCTGGACTTGACTCATCCTTGGTGCTTACAAATATTTCAAACAGAAATACTTAAAAGATGAAACATAGTTATAAAACTGAAAAAATTATATAAATCTGGAGTTTTGATAGTCATTTTTCTTCACATTTTTTTCATTATTGTATGGATGCCTAAAAACGTTTTAATATATATCTTCCACCATCTGAAAAGCCATATTCATATATATATATATATATATATATATATATATATATATATATATATATATATTCAATAGATAAGTCCTGGATTTTTTCAATATATTGATTGTTTCTTTTCCTAACAGTAAATCCAATAATAAAAAACAATTTGTTTTTCGAAGATGTTTAATATTAACATAATATGTATAATATGTACACTAGAATATTTACATAAAATCTTAGAGGTATGGTATGTTCTCATACGTAATTAAAATTGCTATAAATAGTGTTAATAGTGTACAGTTCAAATAACTTTGCCACATTTAAGTAACTAATCTATGGAACATGCATTTTAATCTTTCATTACTAGTACAATACATGTCTAAATATTAGCCTAATTAGTTTCATTTAGTAATATCTTTTTTGTGCTATTGTAAAGTACTAATGCTTTTAATGGTGGACTTTGTAATTCTCATTTGTACATATATATTTATAAGAAATGATTACACATATATAAATATTTTAGCATTCTAATAGTATTGTACATAAAATAATGCACATTTAGAAGATAAGATTTACTTTTTATGAGATCTTTGCCTTTGCTCATTCGGTTTTCAGTCTAGACTAACTATTCTTAAAATTAAGATACTAATCATGATAGGTGTTCTGAATACTGAATTCACAATTCCGAATAAAAATTTTTCCAATAATTTTTACTTATCCCTTTTTAAATTAGTTGTAATATTCGAATGAAGTCATTAAAAGATTCAGCTTTATTTTCTCCGGCAGGGATGAATTCAATTTTCATATATATCCCTCATGACAAATACAAATAATACATGCATTTATAGCAAGACATGACAAATTTTAGTAGGTTAGAACCAGATTAATAAAAATTAAGATAAAAAGCATATTATTACATTGCTGTTATAGATACTTGCCTCAGATAATTTTTAATGTCAATGGAGATTTATTATTTATTGTACTATTCCTTAAACTAGTTAGTTTATATCTATGAATATCGGTTTAAACTTCAAAATAATGAGCTTTATTACATATTTTATTGATATACAAAGCATTGCATAACATTAACATTAGAATACATTTTACTACATTATATATTGCCATATCTTTTTTATATTTATAACTTGTATAATCGTTTTTGTGCTGGATGGGCATTTTTACTTAAACACAATTAAAGCATTCTAATTATTATTTTTTTTTTTAATGCTGACTTATGACTTTTATATATCGAGTGGCAATATTTTAAAATTGACTTCAGTGTTTTTTTTTACTATAAAATAGTTGAAGTTAAGTTGACTGATGCGAGATCTGCCTAGGTTAAATATGTCTTAATGTTCATGTATTTGGTTACATCTGCAGAACAATATTAAATTACTTTTTCTTTAATTTCGACATATTGTGATTATTAACATGCTTTCACTTACACTGCTTTTTGTATAAAAGACCTAATACAATTTTAATATATATATATATATATATATATATATATATAAATTTTTGAAAAAGATAACATGAAGTAAAAAAGGAGGATTGCAAATGCTTTAACGTACAATTCTATTTCATCATCAGCGGATATGAATATTATGAATAATAGTCAAAAATCGTTAGTTTGCAAAATGTAATTTGTATTTTAACAAATGTAAATATTTGCATAAAACACAACACTGCCAGTAATAACTTTTAAAATCATTTTTGAAGAATACAGATCTGTATTTACAACATAGAAAATTTTATAGCCATTGAAGATGACATAGAATTGATTTTTTACTTGGTTTTTAAAAAATTTAATCATATAATTCAACTTCAAAATCAACTATTCATAATATACATATTTATATATATATATATATATATATATATATATATATATATATAATAAAAAACTGTTTTTTATTAATGTTATGCCCGATTACTGGACTCTGTTAATACATATGTCAACATCAAATTCAGAATCATATATTTATATATATATATATATATATATATATATAATATAATTTTTTCATGCTTTGAGATTAATATTTACCATGATTTTATTCTTTGTATAGATATATTTAAGACTGATACAGATTATTTCAATGCAGTGTCCTTACAGTATTACTCGAGACAATTTCAGTATTTTCTTTTTATTTATTGTTAGTGATATTATTATTCTTTGGTTTTAGACTTTAAATTATATTTATTTTGTAACGATATGTTATATGTTGGATGAAAATTTTATTAACAATAGTACTAAGAGGTTATTTGTTAATTATATTATACCTCTTTTGCTTTTTGAATAATTTTGAAAACGCCTGGTACAAATTGATATTTTATCTAATTTGGCACTTTATGTATTTAATTTATTGTGAAGTAAATTTACCTGAATATCATCAGTGCCTAAATAATGCATGTGGTGCTACTTTTAAATTTGTTTTTAACGCATTTTCTGGCGTATAGATTTAAGTTGGAACTTCAAAACAATTTATTATAATTGATGTATTTAAAAAAATTATATACTTTGAAGTTTTTATTTCAACTTCTTGTGGTTTTATAGGGTTTTAATAATCTTTGAATGAACAAAAATATATATGAAATTATAAGTATTCTTTCATAGTTCTATTTTATTATGTATCTACAGAAAAATTCAAGCATTAGCATTGATAAACGATTTCAATACCTTCTAGTAATAATTTTTTGTATAAATGACATTAAAAAAATTATAGTCCATATAAACTATATGCATTTCTAACAATAACAGTATTGTAGGAAAATGTTGAAGATAAAAATTAAACCCAACATTTTATTATAATATGCTTACAAGATATCCAGCAGTATATAATTGATAATTATATTCAAAGATTTCGCTATTTTATAGCATCTACCTTAATATTAGTCTAAATCACCTCAATGTATATATTTCGTATAAATAAGTAGATTAAAAAAATATTTGTAAAATTAATTCAATCTCTCTATCTCTTTAGAAAATAATATAATTTCTTGACGAAATGTATGGCTTTGTTCTACATTCGAAGAAGGTATATGTAATTTAAATAATTTAATCTCTTAATATAAGCGACGATTCTTAATTTAATTAAAATAATTTTTGTAAATGTACAATTTAAAATGTGTATATTAAAAAGTATATAAATCCATTATTTGTTTCTTTATGAATATTTTTGTATAACAGTAACAGTGCTTTGAACTTGTAGATTTATACAAAAATAATCTACACTAAATTTGTGTGTAAGATATTGTGTGTGTATCATCTGAATTAAATAATAGTAATTATATTACTAAAATTATGAAATTTTGTTGAGATTTCTTTTTGAAGAACTCAATAAGTGTATGTTTGTTCATTTGCTAATTATTGTGAACTATAGAAATTTTAGTAATGATTAAGGTCTCTGCATACATAAACAAGTATAAATGGGTCTCTGTACATTTTTGCATATTTTAGAAAAAATTGATGTATGTTTATATGTACGTGTTTAGTATGTAAGTATGTAGCTGATACAAATTCTTGTCAATGATTTCGAGAGCGCAAGTCATTCGTATTGATGGAGAAAACATTCGATTCCTATTGATGGAGAAACGTGCTTATTAGTTTTTGGCAAAAAATGACAATTTAGCTTTTAAGAGAACGGATCGTCCGATTTGAATGATTCAAAAAACATTTTACTTGTATTTGCGGAATGAAAAATTGGTTACATTTTTGGAAAGGCGGGTCTGTTTCGGAGATCCAGAAAAAAATTTAAGAAAACCGTTTGGCGGTCCAAAATGAACATTATAGGCATATGCATATCAAATTATCAAATATTTTATGTAGATTTTAACAAGTATAATATTTGTTTAAATTTCACTTATATAGTTAAAACAAATGCCCTCGAAATTTTCGACAGTGTGGTTTAACCGACTTCTATGGGTTTCAAAAATTTCAAAAAAGTCTTTTTTTCCAAATTTCCAAAAAAAAATCAATTTCAAATTTTTCAAAAAAATTTAAATTACGGTTTGGAAGGTTTCAGCGTTTCAGCAATTTGCCTTAAGGCAGGATGTCAAGCCCCACTAATCGAAAATTTCAACCGTATAGTTCAACCGACTTCTATGGGTTTCAAAATTTTCAGAAAAAAATTAATTAACATCAAATTTTCCAAAAAAGTGGAATTTTTCAAAAATTCTCAAAAATCTTTCAAAGTTTTCAAAAAAAATTTAATTACGGCTGATGCCATGCTCCACTAATCGAAAATTTAGACAGTGTAGTTGTTCCACAGACTTCTATGGGTTTCCAAATTTTCAAAAAAGTTTTTTTTTTCAAAATTTTCAAAAAAAAAATATTCATTTTAAAATTTTTCAAAAAAAGTGGATTTTTTCAAAAATTCTCAAAAAGCTTTCAAAGTTTTTCAGCCATTCATCCATGTTCCAACAATTTCCCTTAAGGCACGATGTCATGTGCACCACTAGTTTATTAACTTCCCGTAGGGTAAGTTATTGTAATGGGCCGAAAATCGGAATTGAAAATTTTTACATTTCTCGACGTTTTGAAGGTTTCTGAACATTTTGGCATACCTCAGAAAAAATGGATGTGTGTGTGAGTGTGTG